TCAGTCATAATAGAAACCCTATATTGAGCCCATGCATCATTCTTAACTTCTACAGGTTCCTTCGTGACACTCATCACTTTTTTAAAAAAAAGCTTTGAAAGCTCATATGGGATTAGGGGTTTCATCTCAGGGCCAAATTGGCTAATTGCCTCTACCGCGGCATAGAAGCTGCTTAACCGAGTTGTATTGAAATGAACATCCTGCTCATAAAACCATCTAGCAAGATAATAAGCAGCTCTATTTCTCTATTCCTTCTTGATTCTATTTTCAATGGTGGTTTGTTTCTTTATTTTCTCTCCTACAACCTCAAGGTCAGGTTGAGGTAAAAAACTATCTATAGGGTCTCTAACCCGAGGCTTTTTAGTCCCAGAACCAAAACCAAAAGCAATTACAACTCCCTTCCCCTTTCCCCTAATAATGGATTGTTCAACCTTTTGACATCCCTCTCCAATCATTTCCACATCACTATTATCATCATCATAATTAACTCGAACCCCAGACCTAATCTCTACTATAAAGGAAAATCTCTAATCTTTTTTCATTTTTACCATGCTAAAAAAATTGTTTATTTCCTCTTTAACAACAGTAGAACTCTTTTTACATGGGGCAACATCCCCCTGATACCGGCAAGATGTTTCTTGAACCGGTTTATGCTCCATTTTATATCTTTATCACAAAACTTGCATCTTATACAATTTTTATCATTAGGATCTAGGTTGTAGTTATATTTCCAACCAGGATCACCAATCCTATTAGATCCCGAAGAAGACATCTAAAAAATAATGCAATTTACTAAACCAATGAAAAAAATCACTTACTTTGAGTTTGATTGCTCAATCTTCAAACTTCCACCTCAAAGATGTTTTAGAAACTCAAAATGTTCTACAAAACCCCTAAATAGATTTGCAAAACATCAAAAATTAAATCTAATATCAATGGATGATGTTTTGATCAATTTTTGTTAACTTTGAGAAACCCTTCGATCTTAAAGAATTCACTAAAAACTAGTTTTTTGGGGCTTTTTTTCTCTAAAAAGGGCTCCAATAAGTTTTAGGTTTCAAATGAACTTAAAACCCAAATTTTTGGCTCTTTAGTATAAAAAAAATAGACAAAAAATGTCTCCACCGAAACCCATTTTTGCCTCTGGGCGGGGCGCAAGCCCTCGGCGGCCGCTCAAAGCTGGGCGCTAGGCTAGGCAAGTTCCATACCGCTTAGGCGGCTGCCCAGTTTGGCCGCATAGGCCTGGGCGATGCGCCAGGCCTCTTTGACCGGCAGCCACCTAGGCGCTAGGTAATCCGCTTTTTGAATGACTGGCTGCATGCAATGATTCATCACGAGATGTAAAGAGCTATTTATTTCATTATGAGTAGTTGGGAGGCATGTGAACCTTTAACGGATTGTCTACAAAAAGACTATTTATCTTGTATATATGGAGGTCACAATTATTCTTACTCATTAGATGTCAAATTTGATGGTGCGGGGCGAGTCACGAAATTTGAAAATTTATTTTTTAGAACTTTATGTTTATTCAATGACATTCTTACCACCACTTATTTTAAAATTTAAGAGATAAAAATGATTATAACGGTCTAGACAATCCCATAAAGTATATCCAACCATCATGACAAGTGAAACGATGATGACGCCTAGGAGCCATGTTTCCTCATGTAAAGATAACATGAACACACCGGTGTGCCATGTAGAATGCTCTCTTCTCACATGACTCTCCATCACAACATTAAAAATGCAAAAATTAATAAAGAGCTGTTTATTTCATTCTGAATTTATGAAAATTAACTTGAATGTGCTCCTTTTCTCTTCGGGAGTAGTAAGAGTTAAACAAGAGGCATGATTGCATTCCAACCTCTAATCAAAAACGTCATGGAACTGGGCGTCATGGAAGCTGGGAACCCAAATGGGTCATGTTTTAAGGGATGAGCAATTGTTTCATGGGGGCTGGACCGGTATAAAGCATCCATCATAAAAACGGACGTAAATAGGTAGTCCATCTAAAAATAATTGTAACTAATGGTTCAAATATTTTTAATATAATTATTATTTTTAGTTTTTAAAATTTATTTATTTATTTATATTCATGATTCCCATGTTAAGGATTATATACTCTCTAATCAAATTATATTTAAAAAATATATTTATTGCCAAGCTCACATTTGTACATGTGCGATCTTGGCCGCATGCTTACTGCATCTTTGAGGGATTGTTTACTAAGAAATTATTTATCTTTTGTATAAAGAGGTCACAATCATTCATGTCTTTTAAATTTCAAAATGGGTGGTTGTAAGAGTGTTATTGTTTAAACATGAAGTTCTAAAAAAAAAAAGAATTATCAAACTCAGTGATTCACCTCAAGCCATCCAACTTGACATCTAATGAATGAGTATAGCTCTGGCTTTGTACAAAAGATAAATGATCTCTTTGTAGATAATCTCATATTTTCTCCTATATATTTTTTTCTCGGAGAAATGATTCCTTTATACGTCATTGCATGTGATGAATTCGTTTAACTTACTAGATGAGAACATAATTGAAAAAATATCTCGGTACCCGTTATTTTTAAGTTTCATTTTTTAATAAACCAAGGTTTTAAAACCTATCTTCTAACTTCCTAACTAACTTCACCCACTTTAAATCTATTTTAGTACAAACAAATATGCAAAAGACATGTTCTTTAAACCATATCTTTTCTCTCTCTCTTCATATTCTCCAAACTTCTCTTATTTTTGTTCATTCTGTCTCCCCATGACTACAATGGAGGAATATCGGCTGCTCATACAATAACAACTTCCTAGAAGTGAAATGTTTTATGTTTTTTGTTTAAAAGGATTGAAAAATTTTAGATTTATCTACTTTTTTACATTTTTCTTCTCTCTCTACCTATTACAGTCACCCCCTGTTCCTCTTCTTTTTCTGGGTTATATTGCTTCTCTCTCTAGGTTTTGAACCCCTCCCTCCCTTTCCCCCTCTCTCTCTCTAGTTTTCTAGTTAAAACGTTCTCGGTTAATGGGGGACTGTGACGAAGAGAACAGCTTAGAAAGCATGGCCTCCACCTTTGAAACTTTCATGGTGGGTTTTGTCATCCTCCACCTTTGAAGCTTTCATGGTGGGTTTTGTCATAGTTAACATAGTGGGCCAGAAACATTACACGGGCACTATTAACGAGGTCGAAATGGTGGGTTTAGTGAGAGAACCCCTCAACCCATATGACCCAAACGCTTTTAAAGTCCTCAACATGAGTGGACAACAGGTGGGTTACATAGAGAGGGACTCTGCAAAAGTTCTCTCTCCTCTCATCGATGAATCTTTTATCACCGTTGAAAGCCCCAATCACATGCCTAAGCCTCTAGCATTTTCCCCTGAAACTAACTCTTCTAGCCCCAAAACTCCAAACCTGGAAAACGCATAGCTGCACTTTAGGGAGAGAGAAACCCATGGAGAGAGAGAGTGGATTTAGAAAAGGAGGTATTTTTTAATTTGTTTGGGCAAAAGATATAAAGTAAATATAAATAAAATGGATTTAAAAGAGTTAGAAGATATAAAAAATAAAATTTGTATATTGTCATATAGGTTTTAAAACTCTACGTCTACATAGAAATGAAACCTAAAAATAAGATCTACATAATTTCATTTGAACTAAGAAAGAGGTTATCAGAGAGGTTATCGTTCTTGATCATTAAACAAGAGAAAAATGACCAAGAGAAACGATTTCCTTACCAATCATTAAACAAGATATGGATAATCTCATTCCGCAGCAAGTATCTTATTAAAACATGATTTTTTTCAAAAAATCTCTAATTTTTTGATATCCTATTAGTACTTCGACCTTTTCAAAAGATCTTCAAAAATTATAACTTTTAATGAAAACGATAGAAACTTCCATTCCCTTAGTACTTTGGTTTTTTTTTCAAAAAGCTTTTCAAGAAAATTTCTTCCTCCAACTTAAAAATTCCATTCCTAGTAAATTAAGAATCTTGATTTAACAAAAGACTGAATAAAAAATTTTATTACCCCAAAAACTAATCTATAAAAACAACCCTATATCTTAAATAAGGGAAAGAGGTAAATTAACCCAATAAAAAATCTTATTCTCTAAATCCATGAAATCATAAAATAAGAGGAAGAGGTAAATTAACCTACTGAAAAATCGTATTCTTCTCTAAATCCATGAAATCATTAAAAAGAGAAAGATGGAGATTTAGTAACTATTAAAGATTTAGACAGCTAGGAATTTAGATTGAAATTAAAATATTTAGATTTTACTTATGCATTTAGTCGCCTTCTCTGTATACAGAAGTTTCAAATTTTCAAATTTTTGTGTACAAATACCATTTTGGGGATGGACCATTGTTTCATATTTTTGAGTTTGGGTTTTGGTGTTTTAGTTAACTATAATCCAGCATTTTTTTTATTTTTTATTTTCGAACAAGGATCCCATACCTTGTTTTACAGTTCATACTATTTGCTAATATAGTTATTTTTTGGGATAAATTATTAATGTAGTTCTTGTGTTTACTGTTATTGTTTTGTTATTGTTTCATTATATGGTCCCAATAAATTGTATTTTATGTTGTCACAATAAAGTAGGCAATATTGTTGCTGTATATATTGCATATTTAGACAAGTCAATAAAAAATTTCAAATCATAATATTATATCATTTTTATATATCTAAATTTCCACACTTTTTTTGAGCCAAATCCAAAATATTCTCAATTCTTTAGCTTTACCTAATTTTTGACAATTTGTATTTTAACCTGATTTTTTGCCTCCGATTTCTCAGATCAAAACCAATCTATTACCGATATTTTACTTTTCTGATATATTTCCATTCCCCAATTTTGCTAACTATGCTCATTCCAACGATCTGACCAATTCCGAACCACTGAAAATCGAGAGAGAGAGAGGAGGGAGGTAGGAGAACCGCAAAATCCAATAATAATGATGATAAAACAAGGGTGAGGTAGGAAACTGCGAATCCAAGTAGTTAAGTAAACTAAGATGCTTTCATTTATGTATTACTGTCTCAAGTCAACACACAGGTAACAAGAACAAGAAAAAGCAATAAAAACAAAAGAAATGGAAAAGAAGAGATCCCTACTCTCCACCAATATTCAGGTACTATTCATAGTATTTGAGTGCACATACGCATTGACATTTGAGAATTGGGGAGCAACCAATCTCTTCTCAGAACCCATGGATCTTTATGTTATCCTTCTTCACAATACCAGCCTGCCAAAACACCAGATAATTATATAAACTCCAAAAAGTCCAGAAAAAATAATCTTGCTTGTTCCGACCATATTGCACTATGTATCATTTGATAACCTAAAAAATATCTCCGGCTTGCAGTACCAATTGGATTTTCAATGGAGGAATTACGAGGATATTTAGAAATAGAAAAAAAGAAAAAGAAAACGGAGCAGAACAACACATGCATGCATAGCAATAAAATGAACAAAGAAAACACAGGACCACTCCATGGGGAGAGGATCATAGGGGCTTCCAATATAAAACTGGAAGAAAAACAGAGAGTAAGGCATTCTTGGTTACCTGAACAAGAAAGTTGGATACATTCTTCCTCTGGTCCCCTTGCAATTGTATCACCTGCATTTAGCAAGAAAATTACACAGTTTAGGAGGGAGGGGAGGAGAGAGAGAGTGTAATCTCTCTCTGAAATATGGAACATTTTTCTGACCTGGCCTAGCTCTTTGTCCTGGACCACAGTGCCATTGCAACAGAATTCCTTCTTAAAGTCTTTGAGAATCTTATTGTAATTGAACTCTTTCTTCACTCCCTGCACTGTGGTCAGGCACTTGCGTCCATTCCGCTGCTGAACACGAACATGAACATAGTCCTTTGTGCCTGCTCCTGAATCTTCCCCCAATGCATCAGCGAAAGGATCTGTATATAATCCACAAATACCAAAAAACCAATTGTTACAAGGACATGGATGCAGGAATCAGTGTTCGAATTGAATTTGACTAACCTACCAATGTTTTGCCAAGTCCAATATGACACATCTGTACATACATACATGCCTATACATTTTTGTATATAAAGATCAATGTGGCCTTTTTAATTGTAAAGTCTTAACTTAAATAAATGGAATATGCTAGTCAAAATAAAAGAACATGGCAAGATCATAGAAACGGAGGCCCAATTGTTTGGATACACATCTTGCAACTCCGACATGTGTATCTTGTTTCGCCAATGTAGGCCCATGATACTTATAAAAAACAAAAAAAAAGGAAAATTTGCAGAGAGACATATATCACATGTATTCCAAGTCCATTTGCACCTCGTGTCGACACGCGTGTCAAAAACATTGGTGCATAGGATTCTCCTCAACACAGACACGCATGTCGCCGTCACATGGAAAAAACCAATATCAATGAGAGCTAGAGAATAGACTTACAGAAATGCATAGAGATGTGGAGAAGACTTACCGAATACGCCTGGAACCTGGATGTCTAGATCTGACATGAAACTGAGTGATAAGAGATACGAGGAGAGAGGGATACAAGGACTGATGGCTTCGCCTAGCTTCCCTTGTTGCACTGGAACTGCATAGATGAATGACCAATCAAGAAACTGTTGGTCTAGTGGACTATTCAAGATTTGTTCCCAAGATAAGAGTTTCCTCCATGATTTAATAATGCAAAGGCATTCACTCATTATTCAACCAAATACACTTAAAACAGCCAATCAAAAAAACAAGAAAAAAAGTTACAAAATAGATTGAGACGATCCAGGTCAAAGATGATCTCCTGGATTTAAAATATTAATAATTAAAAACCATTTTCATCAATTCCACTAAAAAAGAAATGATTTCGAGCTCAAATAACGCTCCTCAATTTCCTATCAAATACAAACTCTGAACCAAAAATTTGAAGGATAGAAGATCCAGGTTCTTAAGAACCCAAAAGCTATTTGACTCAGCGTTATTTAAAGCTTGAGTCAGAGACTACATTAAAATTTTCAGATAAAACGATTCCCCTAACTAATTTTTCTCGAGGTTCTGAAATACCTAATTTTGCGGTGGACCTAGATGTATAATCTTTTTCAAAATTTAAAACCAACAAAAGCAACAATTAGTTCAAGAACATATCAAGACAAAAAAAAGATGCAGAATCAAGGCATCGCAATAATATATTGCTTATCAAAATTGCCATTTTCAACAAAGCAATAATAAAGCTTATCTTTTGCATGAAGATGAATCATACCCTTAACAAATCCTCTGAAGAGCCTTGTAAAGCAAGAAAAACACACCCATAAATCAACTTATGGTCCTATTCAAAGTTCTAAGAAGCTATTTAGTATAAAATTATTTGGTTTTCACTATTCATGAATTTCTCAGGAACTCCAAAAATACCCCATCCTATTCACCTTTTCCAAGTGTCATTATCTTTCAAGCATCTCTTGAAACACGGATTGGGAATCGCCCCATAAATCCCCACCCCGTATACCCCAATTTTAATTTTTACTTTATTTTTAGGTTTGAATTTATTTTTCTGGATCGCTAATTCAGAGCCATCTGGATTGTCGATCCAGCGATCCAACACGAACATGTGGGGTGTATCATCCACCTCAACAATCTGGGTTTTAACCTGCTTCAAACCATCCTTCTCAATTTACCAAAGACTAAAATCATGTGGCTCAATTAACTATATTCCGTTAAGCCTGATTGAATCTCTTAATGAATGTATTCTGATTACAGGGGAAAAAAAAACATACGTGATCTTAAAATTTAACCAAAAACAAACCCATATATGTGATCTTGAATCAGTCATCTAATACCCAACCTAGATATCTAATAAAAAAATCGCATCAAATACAACAACAAAAAAAAGAAAAGAAGAATCCTGAGTTTCACTCTCAGATTGGAATGCATGAAGCACTCTTCAGAAAACCAGGATAAAATAATACCAACCAAATTCAAAGATCACAACACCTAAATCATCCCCAACATAAGTCCGAGCAAAGTCACGATTTTATTCACAAAAAATAATCCAAAAAAAAAAAACCAATGAATAACCCTAAACAATACAAAGAAAAGATGCATATTCGACCGAAAATAAAAAAAGAAATGTAAGAAAAAAGAAAAATTCTTGTTACCTCAAATTTCAGGGGGAAAGAGAACGCAACCACCAACCGCCTGAGAAAAAGGAAAATCAGAGGGTCTTATGAGGAATAGAATAATATATTTATAGATGTAGAGGTATCTGATCCGCTGCCACGTGTCAAATTAAAGCGGTGTACGCCGTTGATCCATGGATGAGATCGAATTTCAAGAACGCGCGCCTCCGTACTTGACCTCACTTTTTTGCGGGGTATTTATGTCTTTTCGGCAGTTTGGTGGTGCCGCTTTACCCGAAATGTCAGGGGAATTTCGGTTTCGGCCTTCTGTCGGAGTAAGAGAAATATCCGCGGGACGAAACACCGACTTGGTAGAAATTTTTTCAATTTTAAAATTTTCGGCCTTTCTCTGCATTTTTCCCTCTTAGGATCGGCAGCGGGTCGGGAACGTACGGATGGACCTGAAAGAAAAAATTCGGACCTGGACCCGACCCAAACATAAACCAAATTTATATTTAAATATTCTAAATGTTATGTTAAATATATAGCATATATTATTTAAATATTATAACTAAAAATATATTAATTATATTTATTTAATATTAATTAAATATTATTTATATAATAACACTATTCGAATCGGATCCACATAGACCGAGACCATACCCAATATGTGAGGTCCGGTTCTTGAACACATATCCAGACTAGGGTCGGGTCTACCCCGGGTTGGAGCCGGGTCGATTACCACGCCTATTGCCTCATTCCAAGACAATGAACCGAAAACCTCAACGATTCTGTAGCACACTGAACATAATTGAACGACGACACTTGCATTAGCTATATTGGTGCTTCCACTTTAATCACATGCACTGAACTCAATGTGCAACCCATTAAGTACAAAACAACCTTTCCCCGTGTGCTTTATAAATGTAGCAAAAGGTAATAATTGCTTCAATTAATTGAGGTGAGTTCCTACCATGGTCCAAGCAATTCCACCAAGATCCAATATGCATTTGTTCAAAAATAATGTGTGAGATGAAAATGCCTTTTATCATTTAGGGGAAGAGATTTGACCGGAACAATATCCACCCTCCCTCATTTTGGGAGCTTTAGGTATGTGTTTCGTGCTAAAATTATTTGGTCCGATAGAAGAATAGAGTAAAAGAAATTAGGGAAAAAGAATATAAAATGATCTTAAACTTTCCCTTAACCCGTCCCAAGCTTAAGTAAAAAGATTGGATAGGCAACCAATGAAATTTTTTGTCAAAACTTCTCACAATTCCATAATAGAAATTATTATTTTTGAAAAGATAATATAAAATTGTTTTTGGGAGACAAAATGTAGTGATTGTTGTCGTCCTTTGTAAGAATGAAAAATGATTTGGTCTTAGTATTTGCTCAGCCCGATTTCGGTAAATTGCATTGTTATCCTCATCGTTATTATCATCAAAATAAACATATTTTTTTTAAAAAGAAAAAATTATCTTGAGTTCTTAGAGGGCCAGTTTCAGCTACTAGTGAAATGGACATGTGCTTATCAAATACAAAAGAGAGCCCCTTTTCACTGTTTTATTTTTGTTTTTTTTTCTCATGGGCTTCTACGTCGGGACTAAGGGTATATCTACAGAAAAGTTTGGGGCAATGTCCCTAAGGCCCCCAAAAATGGAGAAGGGCGGACCAATGTTGCAGTTTCCATAAGGCCCGACAAAATATTTTCCTGGCTTTGACATTCTTGTTTACTCAAAACATATTGTTCACTGCACAACATAGACTGGGATTGCTAGTTTAAACTACTTAATTTTCCAACAGATCAATCCATAAAGTCATTAGTACATCATCAAATAGATGAGAACCATCCTATCTTCTCAAAGGATTTACGCTTTATGCACATATAGCTCAAAACTTAAAGGTGTAAGGTGCACTTTAACACTATGCTGAAAACGCAATTTTGGTGTCGCAAAGCCTTGCGATGATATGCAAATCTATTGTTGTCCCCAACTATAAAATTTAAATTTTCCGAAATGGTGACAATGAAGTAAATCTATAAACAACTTTAAAATCTTGAAAATGGGTGGTGGTCCGGGCAATGTGTTTGAAGATGAATTATTTTTAGGGCTAAAAATTCCTTTTTTATTATGTCTGAATCTTGAGGTTGAGACGAACGATTTGAAGGTTTTCCAGCATAGGGACAACCTTCTCTAGTAGGTTTTTTAATTGCATATTACTCGTACAGTATAAGGTTGACACCTTTTATGAAGCTTTTCCAAACTTAAAACCCAGAGCAAATGAAAATCACCCTTCTTTTTACCTATATTTAGAAGATTCAATGAGGGTTCTCAAAACCATTGCAACCATAGTTTTGCAAAATGAAAATGAATTGACGAATGGTCACAAATAAATGGCCTCTTTTCTTTTTTCAAATGTAAACACAAATAAATAGCCTCACAAGGGACAAAGTCTGACTTTTATATACCTAGTTAAAGAGGGAAAACCTTATGAGAGATAAGTTATTCATTGAACATTGAATTGAAGAAGGGTGCAATTTGTATAAGGCCAAGGCTCTAAACAATTAAAGTAAAGCGGATCTTCAAATAGTGTTAAGAAATATGGTTTCAATATTAGAAATCTTTGAGATAGCTTTAAAATATATTTTCACTTCTAATTATAAAATTTAAAGCTTAAAAAATAGTGTAGATCGAGCAAGTCTATGAAACCTTGGAAAATTGATTGTCGAAAAATGTATTACAAGTTGCACTATTTTCAACACTTGAAATCTATTTTTTCTTCATGTCCATACACTTAAGGTCGAAATGATCAATTTGAGGATATTTGGGTATCAAAAAAACCTCTTCTAGTGAAATTTTTGAGGTGTGCCCGAATTTGATTGTTTAGAACCTCGCATTTATATAAACTTTTCACAAATTAATGGCCTCTTTTCTATCTTTCTTTTTTCTCATGCAAACACATAAATAGCCTCACAAGGCACAAAGTCCTACTTCTATCTAGCTGGTTAAAGAGAGAAAACCTTAAGAGAGAGAGAGAGAGAGAGAGAGAGAGAGAGAGAGAGCTTATTCATTGAAAATTTAATTGAAGAATGGCCACAAATAAATGTCCTCGCTTTTCTTTTTCTTTTTGTTCTAATATAGACACAAATAAATAGCCTAACAAGGCACAGAGTCCTACTTCGATCTACCTGGTTAAGGAGAGAACCTCATTTGCTTAAACCATGGTAGCTGAAATTTCAAATTCCCAGCGTGGTAAATAACTCACTCTTAACTCTCAATCACCCAACTTCACCTTCTTTTCACTCTCATCACACAAGCTGAGCTCTAGAAGTGCTCTCATGGCTTGCTTCTTCTTCATTATCTTCCCATACAATCCCCTGCATACTCTCACTCCTTTCTCTCCCCCTACCTTCTTCAACTCCTCTTTAGCCATCCTCAAAACTCTCTCATCCCCAAAAATCATTATTGCATCATCAACCAGGCTTTGAGGTGAAGGAATTATCCTACCCCACTTTCTCATCAACCTCTCTGACTCTAAAACCCTCCAATAAACCTCCCAAAAACTAGCCCTAAAAAACCATCTCTCTCTCTTCCCCCACCCTTTCTCTCTCCTCCCCTTCAAAATCAGCTCCTCCACTTTGACCACCACCTCACCGGGATCTAACCCACTCTCATATTCTCTCTCTAACTCTAACATCTCATCGATGCAACCCTCCTCGATCCTGCATCGATCACACTCACAGAGAAAGCCCCAATTCTTGCAGAACTCTCTTCGCTTTGTTAATGGCAAAAGCACATCAAAATAGCTGAATCTCACCTCTTCCCCTGCTCTGATCTCCCTCGAGGCATGAACAAGCATTCGGTCCCCTATATGAACCCTCCTTGCATTGGGGTTGCAGGAATGGTTGATAAAAGAGGCCAATATCCATAACCCAACTCCATAACTGTCCTCACCTAGCCTTCCAAGCTTTTTTACAGATAACCCATCTTCTGTCAGGGAATTCACATCCAGTATCTTCATGATTCTATCCATGTCTATGCTTGTTTCTTGCTCAACATGAAGTGGGTTTTCGGAATCAGGCCTAAAGAGCTCCATATCAGGAACCACCAAGTTTTCTTCTTCTTCACCAGCTGCTAAAGAATACACCATTTTCCTGATTTTTTCAGATTTTGAAATGCATTCGTGGACCTTTTCAACAAAATCCTTCCACATTATGAGCCTAGCAGATTCATGGTCTCCTGATTCAGGCAAGATGGCTCGCCCCATCGCTGTAGGCTTCGATACAAATAGCAAAGTTCCTGTATCCACATTCTTAGTCAGAAACAGTCCTCTTCCTCCACCACTGTTATAAGATCTTTGAACCTGTATTGGGCCCAAATACTCAGCTAATTCAGGGGCTTTACCTCGAAACTTGCCCAATACCCAATCTGAAAGATCATACACCCCTGTTCTTGACTGGGTTTCAAGCCTTCGACTTCTCTCTAAGAGCTTTTGAACCTCATCTTGGTTGTTGCAGGTCTGATGGGTCAAAGCTTTTTGAAAGCATTCAGAAGCTTCAGAGTAGTGATCGATTTCCAACGAGATTTTTCCCTTGCAAACTAGGGTTTTAAGATGGGTTTTATCCATCTGCAATGCCCTGCTACAGTCCTGTAAAGCTGAGACAAAGTCTCTTGATCGGAGCCTTGCCTCTGCTCGATTCGATAGAGCAAGACACAGTGATTTCTTGAGCTTTAAATCCTCCTGATCTGAGGTATCTTGGGCTTTGTTACTTATCTTTCCGTCACATAGAGCTATGTATTTTGAGTAGACATGGATGCAATCCTTCCATTCTTCTCTTAAGAGGAGCTCATTAGCTCTTGATCTCAGCTCCTGCATCTCCTGTAACTCCATTTTTCTCCTGGTTTTATCTATCTATTCTTCAAAACTAAGCAATAGCATTAGTATTGAAGGGGTCCTGAGAGAAGGGGATTTTTGAATTTCAACGGTTACAGATTTCATCATCTCTGCACTTTTGGTTTCAACGGCTAGTTTAGATTCAAGCAAATTCAGCGTTCCGGTGAGATCTACTGCAACGGTTGGTTAGTAAAGTGTTGATTTGCAAGGTTGCAGTGAGTACTCCCACGGTGCTCCCGCAGGAGCACTTGTAAACTTACTCCCACCTCTAAAAGACCTAGTTAGGGACGATTTCTCCATCTGAAACTTGACCAAGTTAGGGAGGATTTTTCCATCTAAAACTTTGAGGTTCACTTCAGAATCATTAACGAGTTGTAGAATTTGTAATAAAAGAAATATAGAGAAAAGAGAGAAACATGAAACAACAAAATGTATGTGGTCCGCAATGATGCCTACACCCGTAAACTAGATTCTCCTTTATAAAAGATTACTCTGGTTTACCGTAGATTTATAAAGCTACAATTTTTGTCTTTTAGGAAACAAATCTCATTACAATTGTAATCGCACATAATAGGAAACTCAATATAAGACGGTGCAATTGGCATATAGATGCATCCGTAGCTGTAGAGGCACCTTCAAAT